ATGGATCCTGATGTTATACACAGAATTTCTCCTCTCGCTATAACCCTCTACGTCACTCTATTTTGTTCTCGTTTTCTCTCATTTTGCTCCTTTTTTTTGTTCGCCATGATAAAAAAGCAAGATATTATTTTCGATACATCCCATTTTAATTTTATAAAAAAATTTACATTTTGCCCTTCTTGTTATAAGGATTATTATTTGAAAAATAAAAATTGGATTTGTAGAATTTTATTAGGTATTTTTATACCTGCGACCCGAGCTGCTTGTTTACATGGTTAAACAATGGTTATCTTAAGGCGAAGGTCATAAACAATAGGGGATGGAAAATTACAAAAAATTCGCAATCAGTTGCAATTCGTGCATTGACCTGTTAAGACGTAGTTTTACATTTGAAATAAATCCAGTGAGTGTTTGAATTTTTAAATTCGCGAACAAAAAAAATTGTTAACTTTTTCGTTTTCGGAAGTGTTCGAAGTATGTACTTAAAATCGCGATCACCGAAATCTTTATAGAAAAAGTTCCCTGTTTCCCAATTATTTAAAAATGTTTCGGGAGTGTTCGAAATACTTAAAATCGCGATCGCCGAAATGTTTATATTTTTTTGTTTTACAATTTTTATAAAATGTGCCTTCGGGAGTGTTCGAAATACTTAAAACCGCGATACCCGAAATCTGTATAAAAGTTTTTTTTTGTTTTCCAATTTTTCTTAATCGTGCTTTCGGGAGTGTTCGATAATAAAATCGCGATCGATTTTTATTCTCTAACAAATTATAGAAAAAGGTTAATAATTTATATAGGAATAATAATATTTAATTTTGTAATTATAATTTTAAAAATATTTTAAAATCGGATTTGTGGAATTTTATACCTGAGTTCCGAGCTGTATGTTTACATTGTTGAACAAAGGTTAAGTACCATAAACAATATAGGGCTAGAAGGTTACAAACAATTCAGTAGTTGCAATTCGTGCTTTGACCTGTTAAGACGTAGTAAATTTTGGTAATTTTTTACATTTGAAATTAATTTTCTAAGTGTTCGAAGTTATTAATTCCTAAATAAGTTTTACTGAGAATTTTTTTTCGTTTAAATAAATTTTTTTGTTTCGAGAGTGTTCGAAAGACTTAAACTCACGATCACTGAATAGTTTTCTGTTTCCCGCAGCTTCGGGAGTATTCAAAATCCTTAAAATTGCGATCGCCGAAATCTTTATATTTTTTTGTTTTACAATTTTTCTAAAATGTGCCTTCGGGAGTGTTCGAAATACTTAAAACCGCGATCGCCGAAATCTTTATAAAAGTTTTTTTTTGTTTTCCAATTTTTTCTTAATCGTGCTTTCGGGAGTGTTCGAACATAAAATCGCGATCGATTTTTATTCTCTAACAAATTATATAAAACGTTAATAATTTATATTGGAATAATAATATTTGTAATTATAATTTCAAAAATATTTTAAAATCGGATTTGTGGAATTTTATACCTGAGTTCCGAGCTGTATGTTTACATTGTTGAACAAAGGTTAAGTACCATAAACAATAGGGCTAGAAAATTACAAACTATTCAGTAGTTGCAATTCGTGCTTTGACCTGTTAAGACGTAGTAAATTTTGGTAATTTTTTTACATTTAAAATGAATTTTCCAAGTGCTCGAAGTTATTAATTCCTAAATAAATTTTACCGAGAATTTTTTTGTTTCGGGAGTGTTCGAAATATACTTAAAATCGCGATCACCGAAAAGTTTTCTGTTTCCCAATTATTTAAAAACGCAGTTTCGGGAGTGTTCGAAATACTTAAAATTGCGAGGGGCTGTTCACTGAAAATCCAATTGAACAATATTTGAGAATTCATTAAAGATTTTTAAGCTTTGCTAGTCATTTTCGTAATTCCTATTTTGAAATTAAGGGAAATAGTGCTTTCATTTTAATTGAAGTAATTGAGATTTACTAGCAAGAAAATAGATTAATTGTATAATTCGCCGCCGAATTCGCTCGTATGTCTCCGTATTCGTGACTCGCAACAATTCTTACTGAATGACTTAGGATTTTACTGAAATCGACGAGATTCGTTCGGATTCGCATAGTATTCGACAAATTCGAACGTCCTTTTCAATAATCGTCGGTAATCTCCACTTAAAATACAACATATTCAAAATCAAGAAATTTAAATTTTCTTATGTTAATTGATGAATATTCGGAAGATACCTAGTATATTCTCTACATTACAAATCGGGTATTCGAGAGTGAACAGCCCCTCGTAAAATTGAGATCGCCGAAATCTTTATATTTTTGTTTTACAATTTTTCGTGCCTTCGGGAGTGTTCGAAATACTTAAAACCGCGATCGCCGAAATTCTAATTTTTCTGCCTTCTAATTTTAAAACGTACTTTTCCGAGTGTTGAACTTTTTTGAGTGTCATCAGATCATCCAATTTCAAAAATCGGCTACACCAAACCGCCATCCACGAATTATAATAAGGTTAGAATTCTTTTTTCATAATAATTTTTCTACTAAAATTTTTTTAAAACAATTATTCAAAAATTATTACAATTTTAAACCTTATGAAACTGTCAGATTTTGGCATCTGTAAATCTGAATAATTAATCCAAAAAAAAATTAATTAATTAATTTTGAAATTACGAGAAGTAGGTATTTTTAGATTGCACCTTAGGTTTTTGAAGTGAATTGTTGAATGTATAACCTATATGGAGAAAGATGATGAGTTGATAGGGGGATAGAGAGCGAATTGTATATAACTATTGTATCGAGTAGGTATGCTCGGTCGAAGCAGTCAGCCACTCGACATAAAGGCAAACGTGCGCGTCCAGTTCAATCGAACTCAACTACATGGCTAACTACCCCTTCTACTAAGTTTACCTCGGTTCGTTTTACTAGAATTGAAATTTCCCTTATGCTCTTCTATATATTACACGAAAAATTCTCCTTTTTGCCTAAGACTCTTCTCTTTTAATAAAAAGCCCCCCACCATTTAATTACCCGAAGAGGTTTAATAATAACAAAACTTACAATTTCCTCCTTTAGGGAAACACAAAACCCATTATTTAAATTACATTTTAACTCATTGTTACCACCTGTGCCGGTGACTTTTTATCATTTGCTTAAATATATTTACACATAAAACGATTTAATTTTGCATTTAAATTTTAGTTTTTGATTTTTAATCTTTTATCTAAATTTTATTTTTAAATATATTTATTTGAATTATATAACAATATTTAATTTGTGAAAAAAAATCATTACTAATTTTAAAATTATAAATTTTAATTAAAAAAAAAGAAACGTAATCAAAATTTTATTTTCTGGTTATGCGTAAAAAAATTTCAAACTAAAACAAATATTTTTCTGATTGTTCAGGATTTGGTTAATATGGTAAAAAGTACTAAATATTCATCAATCGGTTATAAAACCGGACTTGTTGGACGATTAAACAGTTTTTTTTTTTTTTTTTTTAAATTTTTGAACTACTCGGGTATGAACCCTACAGATATATATTTTACGAATATGACTATATTCTATACATATGCAGTTGGAACATATACTCGTGAGCGGGGATATGCAGCTTACGGGTTATTCAAATGAACGATAAAAATCATCCATAACGCGGGAGGGTGGAAGGCTTCGGTATTGGTTATATTTAAATGGGTTTAAATCCCCCCACCCTCCCGCCTTGCACATATATAATATATATATATATATATATAGATATATACACCCTGTTGAAAAACTCTTTCCACCCTTGACCCTTTACTCTTCGCTCCCTTCATCCTTCGTTTGAATACTTTGCATGCCGCAGGCATAGAGACATTGCCAATGAAAAACAAGTAAGAGCCAAAAGAGAGGAGGGTGAGTTGTTGAATTGGAGAATCAGTGCTTTTCTCTCCACTCGCACTCATAATCTAATTTTTCCTACGAAAAAGAGAGGAAAAAATTAAAATCACCATTTTCATCAAAGCTGATACTTTTTCAATTCTCAATTATTTCGAAACTTTTTTTTTTTTTTTGTAAATCGTTCTACGAAATATTTTGCATTTTTAATTTTATTGTTTTTTTAAACTGTATTTTTAATTTTGTTCTTTTTATTGTATTACTTCCAACGTAATTCCATCGGAACTTCCAACGTAATTCCGTCGGAACTTCCAACGTAATTCCGTCGGAACTTCCAACGTTATTCCATCGGAACTTCCAACGTAATTCCGTCGGAATTCCATCGGAGTTCCAAAGAATTTCCGATGGTATTCCGACGGAGTTCTGTCGGAATTTCGATTAATTTTTTCAAAATTTTAGAGTCCTAATTCCGTCAGAATTCCGTCGGAATCCCATCGGAAATTCTTTGGAATTCCAGGGTGCACTTTCCGGGGAATCTTTCCAAGTGGGTAAAAGTTAGAGAATTTTTTTTTTTTTCACATCAAATTCGAGGATAAGTTGAATTTGACGATATAAAAAAAAAGTGATATATCCTCGCCCAACTGTTAATCCGCACGATGAAATGGTATCGCACTTTCTACGCGACGTACAAATGAAACAACAACAGCCTCCCGAAAAAAAAAAAAAAAATGTAGATGGACAAAAAAAAAAAAAAAACTAGAACACTTGGTTTGTGAAAAATCGTACGTGGCGCGCGGAACAATAATTGAAATGGCACGTAAAACCGTCGAATCCTCGAAACCATTTTATATTTTAATCGTACTTCGATAGGTTCGACGAGATCCACTTTTTCCGTTGATTTGTTTTCCCCCACGTTTTTGCATTTTATTTATTTTTCTCCTTGAGCCCCGCGTCATGACACTGCGCTCAACAAAATATTCAATTAAATAGACGCGAGACGAACCTTCGTAATTTACTATTATTTCTCTACAGTTGAAGAGTTGAAAAAAAAATAATTACCCTCCGAAAAAAAAAAAATTATTTTTTGTAATAATAATAATAATAAATTTATTTTTCGAAAATTTATTTTCCATACTAATCTATGTTTATTTTACTGTTTCAGGTGAGTACCTTGATATTGAGATCTCAGCGTGAAATATATTTTGCGTGTGCGCATATATTTGGCTTATACTTGTAAGTAACGATTCTCATTTATTTTATGCTTCTCTAACTCGTAATTTTGATTGACGTCTTTTTAATAACTACATGCGATCACGAAGAGTTCATGTACTTAAAAAAATACCCCCCCCCCCTTTTTCTGTCTCTCTTTTTCTCTTTCGCTGAAAAATATATATATACGAAATATCGCGCCTCTTCTGTTTTAAATAATTAACGCGAGAACCACATTTCACGCGATGTATTTATTAAAAAAAAATTTTGTTATTATCATTACTGATATTAAAATTAATTAATTATAATAATAATAATAATAATAATAATAATAATAATAATAATAATAATATTGTCACAAATTAAAAATAATTAAAATATTATTTATGGTAACAAAATAATCGTAAATAATTTAGAGAAATTTATATTATTATTAATAATATTATTTATAATATTATTTACAATATTCTTTTATTATTCATTGTTCAGTAATTTTTTATTTTTTACTTCTATTTTTTATAATATTTATAATATTTTTTTATTATTATATTATTATTTTATTATTATTATATTTTATTATTATTATTTTATTATTATATTATATTATATTATATTATATTATATTATATTATTATATTTTTATTAATATTTTTTTTAATATTATATTTTTTATCCATTGTTTAGTAATTTTTTATTTCTATTTTTTTATGCAGGAAAAAAAATCTTCACCTGGAACAGCGATATGTTTCGCTAAAACAGCAAAAGTTTTCGCTATTCTAGGGAAACATATCGCTGTTACAGATAAAATATTTTTTTCCATGTAATATTATTTGTAATAGTATTTGTAATATTATTTCTAATATTATTTCTAATATTATTTCTAATATTATTTCTAATATTATTTCTAATATTATTTCTAATATTATTTATAATATTATTTCTAATATTATTTATAATATTATTTCTAATATTATTTGTAATATTATTTGTAATATTATTTGTAATATTATTTGTAATATTATTTGTAATATTATTCGTAATATTATTTATAATATTATTCGAAATATTATTCGAAATAATACTTTTTTTATCTATTGTCTAGTAATTTAAAAAAATTTTATTTATTTTTTTTATTGTCTATTTTGACGCTCGCCAGGAGAAACGGATTTCTTTTTTTTCTTTTTTTTTGGCGAAAAAGTGTACGATTTTTAATATGCGAAAAGTTGGTATATCTTTTTCTCGTTTCGTTTCGCCGTTCTTTTTTTTATGAATAAACATTAAATTCCTATTACTCCTTATTATAACTTTTTATAATATACTTCATATTTTATTAATGCCAAGACATTCCAATCGGCCCCCGCGCATGTTGCGCAACGTGATTTGCGTTTTAATATTGTACATAGTTATTTTCTCTCTTTCTCTCTCTTCTCTCTCTCTTTCTCTTATCGAACTCACATGTACCATATATGACATCCGGCAACTTTTACGTTGAATTTTCTCATTTCGTTTTTCTTACAATACATTTTATTTTATGATTCCGTGTGTGATAAAATTGGAAAATACACTGTTTCAATACACTTGAAATAACTATATATATATATATATATATATATATATATATATATATATATATATATATATATATATATATATATATATATATATGCTCAAATAATATACGCGTAAATTATGGATTTTTTGATGTCAGGTATATATATATAGTCAAAGAAACAAAATGTAATGTGTAGATTTTTTTTTCCTCTCTTTCTTTTATTTTTTTTTTTTTCTATTTACATGATTTCGTGTCTCCGCTTGTCACATTGCATATCATGTATTTTTATTCGTTTTCATGTAAAACGAAATAAGGTGTCCGCTCGTCACATAAATTTTTTTTCAATTATATTTTTTTCATACTCACTCACGTATTATATATATATTCTGACTTTTTATCATTCATTTGTTATTTATTTTGTTTGTTTCTTTTTATATATTTCTCGCTTTTTTTTTACTTTTTTTTTCTATAGTTTCGAATTTATTTTTTTTATAGTCTCTTTTTTTTATACTTATATGCTTGGAAATTTATTTTTTATTACTTTTTGTTTTTATATTTCGTTTTCTTATATGTTTCTGTTTTTATTTTATTTATTCCCGACTGGCGAATTTAATTTTTTTTTTTATAATTTATATTTTATATTTAGTTTGGATTTTATTTTATATTTAGATTGGGTTTTATTTATTTTATTTTATTTTTTTTTTTATTTATTTATTCAGCCTGTTCAACCCTTTGGTGGATTTATTTTTATATTTAATTCCTTGCTTTTTTTCAATATTTATTCCCGTATTTTTATATTTACTTTCATATTTATTTTATGTTTCTTTTTATAGTTATTGTCAGGCTCATTTTGCATATATATGTATTTTTATAACTTTCAATATTTATTTATTTGTTATTTTTATATTTTTTTTATAAATGCATCTCATTTTACATTTTTTTGGAGTTTTTTTTTATTGTTTCTTATTTATAATCAACTCACGGTTTCCAAAAAGTTAAAGACAAAAAAATATTGATTTTCGATAAAGCAATGCATAATTTCTATTTGTATTTATTTTTGCATTTGTAAATATTTTTTTTTATATCGGTACGCATTTTTTTACATATTTCTATATTCTTACATATTTTATTTACATATAATTTTTAATATATTTTTTTAATCTTTTTTTTTTTAATATTTATTTTAATATTTATTTTTTAATATTTATTTTTGCATTTGCTTTTATAGTCACTTGTGCGTTTAGTTTTATATTTAGTTTTATATTTATTTTTATATTTATTTTTATATTTATTCTCACATTTATTTTTATATTTTTTACATTTATTTTCGTACTCGGCTTTAATGTTTATTATAACGTTTATTGTTATTATTATTGTTACGTTTATTGTTATATTTATATTTGTATTTTATCTAACCGGATTCCATGTGCGCTCTTTGCATTTTTATATTCGACTCACGCGTGCCCCTTTATCTTATATCAAATTGCAATCTGTCCGTAGCGTCACTTGAAGAAACAAAAAAAAAAATAATAAAAAAAAAAAATTCGTGGCGTCTTAAAACTCAATTAAAATTAATTTTATTTGATAAAAATGTCGTTTCGATATATTTTAATTTCTTTTTTTTTTATATTAAATTACCGCCCGACCTCGCGTTGTAAATTAATTTTTTTTATAGCCACTGTGCTGCATTGTCTTTAATGTAAAAAATATTACAATTATTTTGCAAAAAATTATGATTTTAAAATGGAAATTTTAATTTAAAAAAATTTTTTTTTAGGGAAAATAATTATTTTCTTTTATCTTTGAGGGGGTATTATTTTTTAACATTTAAAAATTAGTATTTAAATACTTTTTTTTATAAATAAATTTATGTCTTCGTAAGAGCAAAGTTCTAAACATATATATATATATATATTATTATTAAAAAAAAGTTGACATTAGCGAAACGTAAATTAATTATAAAATCAATTTTAAAACAACTTGCGTCAGAGATTAAAATTGGCATCTAAATTTTTTATTTGTTTTCAATTCTTTGGACATGAAAATATATCTCCCCCTCTATATATTCTCTCTTTTTATTTAAACGGAACAATTATTATTGAACACACATCTCTCTAATTATAGGTTTTGAGAAAAAGAATTAAATAATATAACTACCATATATCTATAGTCGTGAATTAATTAACCTCCAATTGGCATTCAATCTCGTAATGTTGAAATAATTCATATATTGTCTTTATAATTGAATATCATCGCGTTTAATATTTTAAAATAACAAATGTTTTCTGTCATATATAAAGAAAAATTAATTTTTTTTCTTCAAAATCTTGTTCACCAATTTTTTTTTTTTTTTATAAATAATTATTTATATTTTTGCGAATTGAGTTTTTTTTTATAAATAATTATATATATTTTTGCGAATTGAGTTTTTTTTTATAAATAATTATTTATATTTTTGCGAATTGAGTTTTTTTTATAAATAATTATTTATATTTTTGCGAATTGAGTTTTTTTTTATAAATAATTATTTATATTTTTGCGAATTGAGTTTTTTTTTCATAAATGCGCCTGAGGATAAAATAGAGGGGTGGGGTGGGGGGAAAGGGAAAAGGGCAGCTAGCGAGTAACGATATCCGCGCGTTGCACGGTGGCTGGATTTTAATCGAAGCGCGACGTATAAAGTTGCTGAAAATCAGATTACGTCCGTTGCATTCCTCCCCTCTTGGCAATTTTTTTTTTTTGGTCCCGTTTTCACTCTCTACCTTGTACCTCTCTCGCACTACAAAACGCACCTCACGAAATCCTCTCTCACATATACACGCATAAAAAAAGCGACCTTTTAACGTCCCATTGACTGTATCTAACTCTCTCCTATCATTTTTCACTCTGATATTTACCATCCAACTTTTTATTTCCTTCTCAATTTCATCAGTTTTTTTTTTTTTTTTTTTTTTTGCAAAAATCCTTTTTATTTCCACACGCCTTTTTCTCGATAATAAATTTGTTTTAAAAAATCCCCCATTTCCCCCCTCCCCTCTTTAATTGGATTACGTTTTATCGAAAAAAATTTTAAATCTTTTAAGTAATTTTTTTTACAATTTTATTAGAAAACTAAAAAAATTTTAATTGTATTTAATTTAAATGACGTTAAAATTTTATTTTTAAATTTCTCTTCTATTTTTTATTCCAAATAGTATTTATATAAAAAAAATAAAAATAGTGGAAAAAGAATATATAAATAGTGGGGAAAAAAAATAGTAAAAGAGAAATGTGAGTTTAAAAATAAAATTTTAACGTCAATTGAAGTTTAAATTATTTAGACGGGCACAATTACAAAAGAGTATTTAATTCCATATCGTGTATATATATATATGTGTGTGTGTATTGTCGGAGAGTCTGAAAATCCGACATGAGATGAATGGGCTTTTCTTATGTCTTGAATTCCCGAGGCTGATCCTAAGTTATAGAGGAAAGGTACTTGAAACAGAAGGGAAAAGAGAAAATTGAATAACGTAAGAAAAATGACAAGTGAAACAAAGAAAGGTTGAAAAAAATAAAAAAAAAATTTCAAT